GGAACCATTACTCATTATTGCCCACGGGGGAAGCGCAGGCCCTGTTGAATGATGCTTTCTAAGAATGAATTGAAATTACTACATAAAAAATTACTATATTCGCTCTAACCTTGGCATAGCATCTTACTGTATCTAGGGACCGTATGTTTCCGAGTAGAGGGCTTGTTTTCGGGAATTTCTCGAAGAGCCGATGCTATACTAGCTCTGAAGGTGTAAGTAAGTCCCAAGATATATGAGTACCCCTCAAATTTCTTCATGCTTCCCACGTTAACGTCTCGTCTTGATGTTCTGCAACAGAGCAAACCGACTTTCCTCAAAAACAACTCTACAAAACTGCACTAATCAGTCACAAGGTCATTAGAATTCCCAGGGGAGCCAGAAAATAATGCATATTCCTTTTCTTCGAGCTGAGCATAACAGAAAAACTCATGAGTGGTCAAATTTTTAAAGCCCCTATTCCTTTTCACTATCCATTTTTCGCCCATCATCAAAGACGAAATGCCAGCGAGTTCAGAAGCAGCCATGATCTCGTGGTATAATATATCATAAGGCAATAACGACAGATGTGCGAACGAGGTAGTTTGATTGGCAAAATTTGAGACAATGTCCCGTAAAAATGAAATGAGGTTTTCCACATCGCCTACAGCGCTTCAAGTGTAAGCCATTCTATGAGTCTATTGACGTCAGGAAAGCAGTGAAGGCATCATGAACAGGCCAATGCAATAAGTGCTGTGAAGATTCTTTCTAAATGGCGAGATTGAGGAAAACGAGAGAACGGATCCCTTAAGCACATACATCACGAAGAAATTGCTGACAGAGCGTGGCTTAAGCGGCTATTTAATGCTTCGTCTCTTCCTTCTGCTGCCCCTTTGGGGTGGCAGAAGGCAGAATGGACAAGCCAAAAGTGTTCAAAAATGAAAACTTACACGGATGGTTATGATGTCGCCATGCTTCCAACACGAAAAGGAACATNGCAAGATAGATGGACGATGTACGTCGCTGAAACATTCATACATCAAAACCAGCATTCATTCCTTCTACGAATTCCTAAACAGAGCTTCGCCAACCGCATGATCCTCATGGGTGTACACCCGCACGACAAGGACGTTTCCCACAAGTCCCACCAGGCCAACAACAGCTAGCAGCACTCCAGAAACTGTGAGATTGTATGTCTGAAATGAAAGATCGTTCCAGTGGTTCATACTCAAGACAACAAAAATAAATAACTGAAGCATGTTTACCTGATAGTCGGGATCAGTCGATCCTAGGCACGCATTGCAGAAAATCAGTGGATTTTCTTCGTCAAGGGACATGTCGACGACAGGCAACGAAGGTTCCTCGGTATCCTCGTCTGTTGAGTTGGCTACGTATGTAGCGAAGAAGACAATTTCACTCTAACAACCAATTTGTCCAGCAGCCAATTTCAAAAATGAGAAGGAACAGCACTCCTTAAAAACTTGGCTCTTTCATGAAGCATCAGCTGCGTGATGAAGCTGGAAGAGGCTCCGAGGGCGAGGACGTGATCGCGAAAAAAGAATGGAAACAATGAAAGGAATCAGGTAAGATGCAGTGACGAGCGTTAAAAGAATCAAGAGGTCATACTGACAGAAATTTCGCTTCACTCTTGAAGCCATCCTCTAGGTTCAGCATCTGATCAAAATCTGCCGTCAGAAAGGAAATAGTGTGCTCCTCCTAATGCCTTGACTGTCTCTCGACAGAAGCCTGACAAGGAATTCATATCCTTTTTTACCTATAGTAATTTCTGGAAAGTATGAGTTCTTCTCAGAGGCTCCGCCTAGGTTGCCTACAACCTAGGCGGAGCCTCTGAGAAGAACTCATACAGTGCCTGAGAGATGAGTTTCGAGTATAACTAGGAATTGTTAACTTTCCCGAAGGATGGGGAGGTTTCTATGGCCTCTAGAAAGGAAAGTTGAGAAAGTACGAGCAGACTCCTGGCATTTGTCTAGCTATCGATAAAAGTCCTTCAGAAAAATTCCTTTTGTAAGAATCGTAAAAAACATCTTGAATGGACTTTTAAAGACGGTGGTGCTCCCTAAATGGTTGAAGNACTACGATGCCTTCTCTATCCGAAAAAGCCCCGCCAAGGAACGGGTTTAAAGAAGTTATATATGACAGGTTATTTACGGAAAACTATGAGATTCATTAAATTTACCAACCGCTAACAAATAGTTTCCCTCCCCTACCCCTTCCTTGGATGAAAAATGACTTCCTCTCTCGTTTATTCCCCGACGCATCCTTGACTGAGCTCAGAATTAAATACGAAACTACTTTTTATAGAAGAGACCTGATAGGGCACCAAATCTGATCTTGCCCAGGCTGATGGAGGCTGATATGTGTGTTAGGAAGGGAAAAAGTCGGTGACAAGGAGATGAGTGAAGTACGAATTGTAGATGACTGAGCGCTAGATGTGGGCGGTGCTTCTCCATCTCTAGCCGGCGGCCATCCTAGCCGCTAAGAACACCATCCGTTCCATTCCAATTTGCATCACCTGGGAATCGCATCGCTGAGGAACTTGATTCATAGGCAACGAATCCCTAGATCATATCAGTAGTCGTGATAGAATAAAATCCAAGGTAAAGGAGAAACGGAAATGGCAAGCTTCAAGGGTCTCCCTGGGGGAGCGGCAGCTTTCCCGAGGATGTCGAGTGTTTTGGCCTCCATGAAATAAAACATTAAACGCTAGCTCATAACGGCACTTAAGCATTTTCCATTTCTTACACCCACCTGGAACTTTCGCCTCATAGGAGCAATCACCACCTTCAGAGTTTCCTGCACACTATGTAATGTTCCTACGGATTTTATACGAAAATTGGGTGTTGTCTGGGGGCAGTCAGAACATAAATACTACCTAGAATCGTCGACCTGCCCAATTCAAGACGTCAGAGCCTTTCGTCAAGTTTTTGCTCTCTAAGTTCGGATCAATTTCGTCTTATGGGCAAAATGCTTTCTGGAGCTCGTCCTAACTGATTCAAAGGGATAAAACTTTGGCATCAAGCAGTCACGTTCAACATCAAGATTCCTAAGTAACTGGAGAAGCTTCATCCCCATTGAAACCTACGATCTGCGGCTATCGAAGAAATTCGTATGAGTTGCATTTATACCTTCTTACCTACGAATGCCGCTTGCCTTTTCCCCAACAGGTTAGTAAGAGGATTCTGGAATGTTGGCTCAAACTCGCTTTATGGATGTTGCCTCCTCTGAAACAGCTCGTCCGACTGCCACAATGCCTTCACCCCTACCAAATTCCTCCTGTAGTCTGAAAACTAGAAGGGCGATGAGCATCGCGCTCCAGTTGAACGGTGATGCGCCATTGAGAATGTTTTCTGCGTAAACCTTTTCCCACTCAATTCTCCAGCTCTTCTATCAGCTTTACATCCTCTGAATGTTTGTCCCAGATGTAATTTGGTTGTTTACAGGTGAGCGAGTGGGCGCTTGTCAAAATGCGTTCTCACTCTTAGAATTGAAAAATGCCTGAACCAGTGGGCGAACCCGAATTATTCCATGAAAAGGAGCAGCTAGTGAACAACAAAGTAAAAGCGGAGAAACGCAAAAGGTCGCCCACAGCCGAAGATATCAGTCACACTGAGGTAGGATCTAATCTTGTATGATGTCTGAAGTTTTGCCGAATTTCTCGTTTGACTTTCATATATGGGAAACTATTTGATATTATTTGAAAACCTATATGATTGAAAAAGTAACTTTGCGTCGGTAATGTGCCTCATATGACTGAATATCGTTACGGTTTTGATTATTATAAAAATGTAGATAAAATAAAGTTGGACAGAGGGGGAGGAGGCACTTCCATTCTCCATTGGCAGGTGCTAGCGTGCAGAAAGGACGGGTTAGCCTTCCCAACTGGGTGTTTGGGAACGTTTTTGGCCAGAAGAACTAGGTTTTTAACGAAACCTCAGGAGAGGAAGAGGGTAATGGTGAGTGGCATGGTTAGTTCGTACAAAAACATGAGGTACTAGCGGATTTGAACACTCATTTGCTTCTTTTCATCAGTGTAAAAGGCAGCATGCTAGCGTACTGTTCATGCTTATTCCTGCCTCCCCCCCCCCCCCCCCCCCCCCCCCCCCCCCNCCCCCTCCATCCCTCCGAACTACTTTTTCACTCATATTTGAAACGCTTGGCTACTACAGTTACTAGTAAGCTTCTCATCATTTGAGGCTTCTGGGCTGGCATATTTTTGTTTTCCTTCTTATCGTTTTGTCTGGGTGATAGAATCATCAAAAGGTCTCCCTGTGACTGAATGAAATAGACATGGTCCCCGCTTGTCTTTGAAAAATTACGTGAGAACCGTGAAAAATGAGTTGGGAGACCGCCATGTTATCAGATGGTGTAGTCATATTGGTAGAAAGTCCCGCCAACACTCAGCTAGGAATATTCAGTTTCTATCCTTCACTGTTCGCTTACAAACCATGCTGTCTTTTTCAACTAACGCTCTTAAGGGAACTTCTGTAAAGAAAAAACGAACCGTCGAAAGGGGAGAGCTTAACGAAGAGCCTTTTCCGATGAATGTAAAAACGGAGATTCGGAACGGTAAGTATTTCCATTTCAGCTTGAATTTCATTCAGCTGTTCTTTTCTCTGGACAACCAGGGATACATTTTCTACAGAGCAGAGTTCTCTTCGTGAACCTCTGCGCCTCCTTCTTCCATAATGATATAAACAGTAACCTTAAACGGTTTCTACCTTAGTGGTTCACCGTGTAATGATCCACATTACATTGATTTCAATTACATCATATGATCATTAATAACCCCCCCCCCTCACCCTTTTTCCAGTTTTGATTGTGACTGCGTTTTCTTTTTTTTTTCTTCATTTTCAAGTTTGTTTAACTATTAGAGTCGGCCCTACACGTTTTCTCTTTCTTTTCCATTCAGAACTCAATTTCCGCTTCTTCCTTTAAGCAAAGAAGATTTCATTGTGTAAGCAGCCGTAAAACGTTTGATTGAAATGGAGTGATGTTCAAAACCGAGACTGCGTCACGGGAAAAGGCTCATCACTAAAAAGAGACCAAAAGACAGAATATCAATTACAACCCTACTCATTTTAAATGGCCTCTTCCTAAATAATGGAAATGACGTGCATGCTTTCTTTTGATCTGATGGTATAACTCCATTTAAATGCGGTTTGAAGCGAAATGACACTTTTTCGGGAGTCTTTCTCTCAATGCAATTTAATGCCACTTTCTAAAAGCCTTGCATAGTTATAAGGTTGAAAAGGGATGTGGAACGCACAACACTGGGTAACATCGTACCAGGTATTGCATCCATCCATGGCAGCAGTGTATTTGACAGCTAATTTGCTCCAATATAATATCTTGAGAGGCAAAGCGAAGTGACCATTTCCTTCTCTTCTTGGTGGTTACCTAGGACTATGGTTCTATTTCAGTTATACTATAATGGTCCTAAATCCCTGCCATATTCCTCGAGGTCGACTGTTGCGGTATTGTTTGGGAAAGGACATGAAGACAGCTTCTTGCCTGGTGCCACTGATTTGAAGGAAGTTCTCATTCAGGTGGAAAAGTCAATTTTCGAGGGCAAACAACCTACTTCTCTTTAAAGGGACGTATGTCCCCATTAAATATGAAGTAGAAATAGTTGGATATAAATCACTCGCCCTTTTCTGAGGTCGTTTTGAAGATTTTTTAGCGTACAAGCTTTTTTATCCTCCTGGTCCTGGTCCCGCCTTGTCCAGAGTGATCAAACAACTTCACTCTAACTGCTCCATTTTCATAGAGCATGTTTTCGATGTTTTTGGAATCACCTCAATTCGAATTGACATTTGGATAGCAATTTTGGACGGGCCTTGCTTTTTGAAGTACATGATAAAGGTAGAATTCGATTTTGACAATACTTTATATGAGACAGAATTATCGGCTTTTCAACTAACTATCACTGTGTCATTGAATAGTGCGATTTCTATAATGCATGTACAGTGCGGGGGTACTTGTTTTAGCTATCCATTTTGCTTTTTTCTCTCTCGGGACATATAATTTGACCTTACTGTGAGAGATGCTTCAGTTGCTATGGATCAAAACATTGAATCATCGACCAATAGCCAATCGGCCGCAATTCCCATGATATCAAACAGCTGAAATGAGCTAGTGAAAAGGGCTTAAGTGGTGTGNGGCAAATAACTATAACAAATACCTATGAAGCAATTAGTAACTTGATCCTGGCAGATATATCTGCCTACACCCGTGTAAAAGCCCTCATGCATATCGACTGCTCCTCTTTGTCATCGCAAAACAGGCTAAACATGAATTCAAAAGCCTCTACGGTGCTCAATCGAGGTAGCATTACTAAGCACATTTCGGAGTGAGATCAATTCAAGCTTAAGGTTCTATACTATTATCTTGAGATTGTTTCCTCGCATTTCCCATTCCTACCTTCGCAACCATACGCTTAGTGATGGTATGCGCTTAGCAGCTAGAATTCTCGGTTAGAGGCATAGTTCACGACAATTCTGAGTTGTTGACTCGTGGGGTTTTCCCGCCCCTCGATCGGTGTACGTCAGACGAGTGTCGAGGCGATACAAATTGCAATTATTCGTTCTAGGAATCATACACAATCAGCTGATCGCCGATTGATGAGACGATGTTTTTCTCCCATTCTTTTTTTCTCTCCAGGACCCACATGTACACAATGACCCACATTGTGTAGCTCGTCCGAACGCCCNCTCTCGCCGTTTCTTCGCCTTCATCGCACTGTTGTCCGTCTTATATTCCATTTTCGTCATAATCTGGATTACCCAAAATTATCGTGAACGGTGCCTTCAACCCTTTGACGACAGCGCACCTTCACGTCTGGCGCATGAGACAAGCATGTTTTTGAGCTTCTCGCTCACCCTGCCCGGGTTGCGAATCTTCTCCCCGAATTCCCGCGGCCAGCGACAGTGGCTCCGCGGCGACTGCCGTATCATTCCAAAGAGAATTAAAATCTTCCCTTCATAGTGCGCGATCGAATGCGGCGAGCACGAGCGCCATTCGGGGAGAAGATACCAGACCTTATCCTGAATCCAAGAATGAATCAGTCGAAGTAGACAACTGGGGAAGCGGTTTTGAGAGACTGGTGGTCGAATCTTTTAGAATAGGTTTTTCTTTAGGGAACATTGCTATTTCGAACTGAAGACATGAGAGAAATGAAAGATGTTTTGAAAAATGCTTTAGAAGGGTGTTTATTAAATTCCTTATGCAATGAATTATTATGGGCAAAAGGTGTTCTTTAGAACTAGGGGTTTTTAGGCGATTTTTTATGTAACATCATTTAGAGGCAGTAAACCCGTTACCTACAAAAAACAACTCGAAAAAAGTGAAAAATAACAAAAAGTAACAAATGCGAAGGGTCCGGCTCATCGTTGAATCCGTCACGCCGTCAAAAGGTTAAGAATATGTATTGAATTGTAGGGAGTCATTGTTAATGGAATCTCATTGTAGCGTTCCCTTTTTTCCGAAAGGTTTTCCGCTTGCTCAGATCTGCACTTTCCTGCTCTATTTTTTTTTTCGTTTGGTGCACTCAATATTGTCGATAAATGAGGTTTTTTCGATGTGAGGCCTCGGGCAGAAATTTGAGGATGGTAAGGGAATGAGTTTATTGTCCAGTATTCTGCCTATCCTGCTGAGAGCTTTTCGTGTGGAGAGTGTGGTTCACAAACTATACTTAACAGGCACAGTGAACGATAGCTGTCAATATCGTCCAGGTCTACATCCTCCTAAAACAACACAGTCCTCGTTTATTTATTTATTTATTTATTTATTTATTTATTTATTT